GCAATAACTACAAGCTGGCAAATACCACTTATCTCAGATTAGACAATCTTAGTTTGCAATGATAAATACTTTTTTTTATGTCTGTCAGACAGTGCCCTTTACTAACTTTCCATTTGCTTCCATCCAGTGCTTTATAGTATTTGCTTTATTTCTCCCAGGAAAAAGGGCAAGATGCAGCTGTTTTGCCTCACTGCTATTATGTTCATATCTTTACAGTCAGTTGAACAAGCAACAAGGACAAGATGCAGCGTAGCCAGAGGGCACTTGGCATGTGATGTGACTATTGATACAGGACCAACAGGGCTAATCTCCAATGCCAAGTATTCTCATCTTTTGACAGTAAACAGTGATGTTATTTCAAGGATACTTGAAGGTTCTTACTTAGGAAAAACACTCCTATTGAATGTACTGCTGAGTAAATAAGTTTAGAATGGGAGACATTGTTCATATATGTTTCTTGTAGGAGATAGATAGATAAATAGATAGATAGCATAGATGATAGATAGATAGATAGATAGATAGATAGATAGATAGATAGATAGATAGATAGATAGATAGATAGATAGATAGATAGATAAGAGAAAGAGATGCCAGTTGTTCTAATGCATCTAACTTGGATTATACTGTCTACATACAATTGTAGGAAAGTCTTGTTTACAAGACAGAAGAATGACAACAAAAGTCAATCTGATATGTGCCATGTGCCACAAATGCTTGTTCATTGTTTTTGAATGAAGACTATTTGGGTTTACAGCTGAAATTAAAGATGGAAAATATGCATAACCTATAGTGCAACTCACTTATGTGGTGAATCATTCTGTTCTGTAGATGCGATGGTCAAGCATTCATCATGGCCATGAAATAAACGTAATACATGACCACCAAGTAGGTATCCTAGAGGAAGACAAAATAATTAACTTGGATAGCATTTTAACAATAAGTATCTGGAAATGGAAGTATATCTACATATTGCATTAATATCTAAAGGTCTAGGCTATTTCCTCTTTCCAATGCCCGCTCAGTTGTGGGTCTATCAACATGCCTTAAGCAAATCACCAACTATAAAATAACAGGAATAAAACCTATTGATGTTTAACTCCTGTGATAATTTCCCCACATGGCACAGGAATAGCTCAGATTTTTTCGTTCTTCCTTTTGATTAGCCACACTTATTTTCACCTGATCTCAACAAATCTACTTGATCTACTGCACTGGTGTCAAACTCGCCACGTCACGTGACATGTTGCGACTTATCGCGACTCTTTTTGCATTGCTGGCAATGGGGTGGGCACAGCTTCGGTATGATGAAACCAGCTTGCAGGCCAGCAGTTTGACACTCCTGATCTACTGTGTGCTTTAATTGTAATAAGATGGTTTCAAAGTATTGGTTATGAAAACAGATTATTTGATGCAATATATACCAAAATGCAGTGTCAACTGAAGACAATCTGCAGAAAGTGAAGTAAGAGTCCCCACCAAATGGAAAATAGACCAATTAAAAGCACAAACGTTTATGGTGGTCCATAATCATATAATGTCTTATTTGCCATGGGCATCTTCAACACAAATGATGAACTATGTGTATTGATATTATCATGTAAATGATAACACACATAATTGTGTCAGAGATCAGGATGCAAGTATGTAATTACAGCATATTCAAGATGGAGTCACCATGCCTGTGTTGACCTATTATGGTTTTCTGTCAATGCCACTACTCATCAGCCTGCCCACTTCAAAAATCTGGATTTCATTGCAAATCTGTTCAGCTGCTAAACAAGACAGGATGAATCACAATAATATAGATTTAGTGCTAACAACCCATGTGGAAGTGCCCCAAATGTATATGAAACATTTTGAACACAGCATTATGCTACAGTATTACTTGAATGTATGACTTTCATAGAACAGATCTTTCATACCATTGATCATAGTATCCAGCTGGATTGTCTTATTCCCAGTAGGAGGCAATGGTATTGCAGTAATTCTCCTCCTGCCTCAAGAGATACTTCCATTTAATACAACAGGACAAAGCTATTGTGCCTAGGACTCCCAGCCTCTCTTGTTTAACATTTACATGAGATTGCAGAATCAGTTACCAATAGATATGTTGAGGATACCCAGCTGTATGTCTTGACCTCAGGTCTACTAAGTGATATTGTTGCAGCTTCTCTCAGTACCTGAGGGTTGTTGGGTTATGGAATGGAGAAGGGGGGGGGGGAGAACAAGCCTGAACTCAACAATGACAAGATAGTTCCTTTGGAATCTTGGATTTTCCATTGAAGGGTTCTGGAACAAAGTGAAATTGTTTGGTCTAACTTGCTTTTTGTAATCAGCTTTTGCACCAGGCTTGAGAATCATGTCCATGGATGAGATATACTGAAGGAGGGAATAAGGGATTGTACAGGAATTATTGATGTCTTTCTTATGATGTAATGGCTCTGTTTTCTGATTTTCATTGGCTAATAAAGTTTATAAAGCAATGCTACCAACTTTCTAAGGGATATTTCTGGACGTAACTCTACCAGCATTCCAGATTGTTGGCCACCCAGCTGCTTGATTTGATCAAATAAAGTGCTGCTTGATCAAGAAGTCTCCGCTTGGGTTATCTGATTAGATTGACATGGTATCTCAAGTTCAAGTAAGGGACTGGGACCTTACACCATCTATAGTTCTGAATGGGTACACATTCTCCAGACAGAACTGGTGTGCAATCTGGAAATCCTTCTGGACACATAACTCCTGCTCAAAATGCAGTCCTAGCTAGCAGGAGGGCTTTTACTCAAATTCATTTAATATTCCAATTGTGCTCCTTCCTGGGTGGAGAGGGTTTTTTTTTTCACATTCACTTATGCCTTAGTCATCTCTGTAATATAGTCTGCCTACGACTGCCCTAGATTAGAAGACCACTCAAAAACTGCAGCTGATTCAGAATGCATGTTACAGACCATTATAAGTATACTTTGGTATGCTCATGTAACATTTCTGCTATGCAAACTGCACTGGTTACCCATAAGCTCCTGGTACGATTCAAAGTTGTTATCTACAAAGACCTGCGTGACATAGGGCCTGGCTATCTAAGGGACTTGCTTATTCCCCAGGGTCCATGCTGCTCAATAAGATCTGGCAGAGTGGTCACATTCCAGGTCTCATCAGACAAACAAGGTCATCTTGGAAGGAGGAAGGGGAAGGAGACTTTAAAAAATCTTTTTGTTACAGAGCAAGATGAATGTGGCTTTTTGCTAAGGAGGAAAGATGACCATATAAGTGGTTAATCACCCAGTTTATGGTCTCTGTGTGATATATGTTCGTACATATGTGTGTTAACTTTGAGCAACAGTTCTAAAACGCATAAAAAGTAAAGATTGCTTGATAACAGGTATCATTTACAGAATATTGTGCTATTATAACAGCCAATTTCCTAGATGCTTTAAAAAGAAGATTAGATAAATGCAGAGAAGATAGCTATATTAATGGTGATAAGAGATTTCTAAAATCCTAGGCAATAAGACGCTGGATTCAAGAAATTTTCAGAGAACGCTATAGTTTTGTGTTCTTCTGGTAGAGAATTGGCTGGTAAGAACTAAAACAATCTGGAAATGTTACTTTGTAATGTATAAATGCAGTAGAAAAATGTTAAGTGTATGGCAACGGGTCATGATAAACCTCTAAAAAAGAAGCACAAATTGTTGTTGACTGATAAGTGACACTGTTTCTATTCCATCAAATTAATCCTTTGTATAAAATCAATACTGCATATGGTAACAGGTGAACAGGGAAAGGTAAAAAGCTTGGCTTTTCTATAAATTTACATTTTAATGGAACATAAATTTCCAACCCATTAAACACAGAGAGGCCAGGATAAATGAAGGCATTGTCTTGTTGCAAACAAGAGGAAAATGATTCATCAGTATCTCTGTGTGAATTGTCCTAAACTCACTTGCTGAACAACAATCCCATTAATATGTATTGGAAACAAATGTTACATAAGATACAGATCTGAATATAATGCTGTCAACACAAAA